GGCTTTCAGATACTATGCTATGTAAATGTTAAAAATTAACTGATGCATTTGTTATTTGGTATATATTTTTATATCTTTGTATGGTCGTATGATGTAGCAGTGGGTGTCTCTAGACACACACCATGTCTAAATTTAGTATGATTTAAAATTTTGCATCTAGGTTACAACATTCTGAGTTGCAGACTTTTATATTACAGCTCTTATCTTCTATTTACTTTGAATAATAATGTAGACAGACATTTCAACCAAGTTAAAATAACTTCGTTTGAAAAGAGAACCAATTAATGCACAATTGAAATTAAAATAAATCGAAACCGTGTAAAAAGCATCCTTGAAAAACTTTTAAACGATTAAAACGTATTTTTAAGTTTATTTTTTGTTTAAAGTGTTTTAGGATTTTAATTAGTTTGGAAGATGGCTAAAATTGAGATATCCAAGAATTACATGTAGAAGAAAAAATTGAAGAATCAGAACCGAACAAGATGCAGTCTATCAAGAATTCTTTGATAAAATATGACCACACTCAGTTATTTAGCAACCAAGTTTTATTACTTGATCAAGAAAATGAAGTAGAAAAAAGAGAATGAGACAGAGATAGGGAATTAATAGATATGTTGAAAGATTTTTAAGTATGGTTGATTTGAACATTAGACTTACTTGATTAGATAATGCATATGATGACTAGGTATGTTAACAGTATTATTCAGCCTAAGAATGCTTGGAGTGGACTGGATCATCAGACTTAGACCTTAGAGTCTTAGGAATGTGGTCCTAAGATCAATGATAGAAATTTAATATGCAGATACACTGTACATTAAAAAATGAGAGGGGGAATTGATGTCGAATTTGAACGGCCTAATAACCTATTAATTATTTGTATTCAATTTATAATTTCGTTATATATTGTTGCAGTTCTTCAATTTGTTTTTCTAATCCTACTTGCATTCTCATTCATTGTAAATGAATCATCTTTTATTACACATATGCGATGATTTTGCTTGAACCCCAAAGTTTCAGTATGATATGATCATAATATTATGAACATCTTATACTACCCAAAATCCATTGGTTTGACTGGTTGTTGAATAGTAAAATATTTTTTTTAGCGGGGAAAATAAATCTTTTTATGGTATAATCATTCTACTGACCAGTTTACACATTGAAAATACTCGTGTTTAACATCGAGACACAATAAGATATAAGATTGAAAAAAAGGCCCAAAAACCAAATTGGTTGATGTGAAAATACCTAAATAATGGAATATTTAAAATACAAAAGTCATCAACGATGAATAATGCTTATATATGTTGTTTCTTGTGTCATTTTTATTTACAATAAATGGTATTTATTGACTTGATATTAGTTAGTTAGATCAATTTACGAAACGCATAGTTCAAAGGCAACCTTTGGACAAATTATCGATGTGTATCAAAATCATTAATTTCAAATGTGTTAAAAGATCTAAAAATGAAAATCTACGAGAGAAAAACTTCCTCAAGTTGAAGCTTGCCTTGTGTTTATGTGTTTATCTTCAATCTAGTTATGTCCGTGACATAATGAAATCAAAAGAATTGCAATTCCAAAAAGAAGGTACTATCATATAAAACAAATATCCTTGAAAATTACAGTGAACAAAAATTGGGTTCACTGCAACGAGCATCTTTTTTTTTCTGCGCATAATAATAAATACACAAGCATAATCACGCTTGAAAATTTTTAATAGTATCTTTAAACTAATTTATCCTGTCTATTATAACCTCCAAACTTAGCCTTTTCTTCAAAAATGTTGCAATAACCATCTTTTATTTATTATATGGAAAAATTTGGCCCGTATAAATCACATTTATCTATTTTAAAATAATTTCCTGATGCATTAATTCTCTCTTATCGATTACATTTTACGCTTTACAGGAATAAGTTCTAAATATAAAATAAGCACCCATCGATTATTGATTGCTTTAACCCTCCTTGTTTCACTTCCATAATATTTACACCTTGCCTATTATTTTCTGTCCCTTCTTCCCCAAAGATAGGATGGCTCCAGAACTACAGCTTCGAAAATTATTCTATTCATCATTTTGAAGCATTTTTTTAATAATTGCAGGAGACCTTAAGAAAAAAAGAAGAAATGTAAATAATTAAAGAAACTCTCTTTTAAAATCAATCATCTGATCCAAAGTTATTAACTCACAAATATTATATAATGATTAAAAAATATTGAGAGAGAGAGGGTGGTGACCAGCATAATAATTAATGTTAATAGTAAAAATTCCGGATCGTGTAACAAGCCGTTTTAAAATAAAAATTATATGGCCAA